TTTGATCGAAGGCAGTGTTTAGACTGGGGGTTGGGGGGGGGCCGGGGGGGAGGAGGGTTTGAGGGGTAGACGCTGTTTCCTTTGAAAAGTTTTAAAGAGGGGCTGACACCTGGACTGTTTGTGGATTGTGTGTGCGCAGGTGAAGCTGTTGATCGCGCTGACGAAGCAGATCTTGCAGTCGTGTGTTCCAATGTGTGTGTGTTTGTGTGTGTGTGTGTGTGTGTGTGTATGTGTTCTTTATTATTATTATTATTTTTTAACAAAGAGCTTTAATCTTTTCGTGGGGAGCAACACGTGCTGGGAAACCGGGCCCAACATCCCATATGGAATTATACAAATGATTCGAGAAATGATTTGAGATACTAGGGCCATTACCTGGCTTCGGCTAAGAACAATCTGAGAACTATGAAAAAGGTTCTGAAAGATTTAGGAAAACATGGATAACCTGCTAACCTATTGCTAGATCACTCAAATAGTACTCAGTAAGTCAAACAGAGAACCACAAAAACCCTTTGAATGCTCAGGACCCCTGGAATCCCCAACAAAACATTCTGAAATTCTCCAACATAGTCTTATTTTCTGTCGAGCTTTCCCCGGCCCCATGCCCCCATCCTGCTAAGTTATAGGGCAGCACAACTCACCCCAGCTCCGGCCAGCTTCGCACCGACAGCAACCCTTGGTTTTCCCTTGGAATGTCCGGCCCAAGGCATCCCCAGATCTCTCTACTAGGCCTTACGCTCTTGCTATCAACAGGTTACAGGGCAACCCCCCAGCTCCGACCAGCGTCGTTCTGGCATTGGAAAATCGCAGATCCATGAATATAACAGCATTAGAGAAAGTTTAGAATGAGTTGCAAACAGTACGTAGAATCCTAAGACATTCTCTAGACTCTGAAAAAGCTTAAAAAAACTTTAAAAATATGAGAGTTGGGGGGGGTCAAAACTGAAACTGCCTACTATCCAAAACTCCCCCCCTCAACAGACGGAACGTTGGTCTAGGCTTTCATTCCTCGTACTAGAACTCACTTGATCTCATACCCCCTTCTGCTAGGGTAACAGGGCACCACAACCTTCCCCAGTACTGACCAAACTAGTTCTGACGGACAGGAAGTGCCTTCCTCCCTCGACATTTCTCATAGCGGCAAGCCCCTGACGGAGGTTATAGGCTTAATACCCCGACGCTGACAACGTCGAACGGTCTGGTTATGCCTTCCACCCTCGGCATAACTCCACAGGCCTCGAGCTCCCCTATCTCGATCACAGACCAAAAGCTCCAGCAACGGCCTGTGCCGTCCCAATATCGTCCGTCTAACCTACTTACCTTAACAAACAACCCTCCTCTGTTGAGAGTCTCCTTTCTACCTACCATCCTCTAGTTCTAGCTCCCCCCACCTTCCCTCCTTTTTTTGAGATACCAGGGCCATTACCTGGCTTTGGCTAAGAACAAACAACTCATAACCCCCCCAACAATCCTCTTTGCCTCACTCAGGCAAAACTCACTGCAGCGGAGCCTCCATCTCCGCTCCTGCTGTACCCTAATTCCATCCTACGAGTTAGCCCCCTCACTAGTAGGACGCTTGTTAACCCACTATCTACTTCTCTCACTCGCCTCTGTTTTTTTTTGGGGTGGGAGACATTCAATCAAGAACATACTGAAGAAGCAGAAAAACAGAAGATTCAGAAAACCATATACACATTTCAGCGCCTATTATTTCCACAAGAAGAGGGGAAGGGAGGGAAGAAACCACCCTCTCTCCCCATGGAAACCCCAACGCCTATTAAATCTCGATTGTATAAACAAGGCTCGCAAGAACCAAAACGGATCACTCCTCTCCCTCAAAAAACGACCCCCTGTCTGATACTGCCTCCGCGGGGAAGCGCCCCCTCACCTCCCAGCCCCAGTACAAAACAGCCCCCTAAGTACCACTCCTGCTCCCTCAGCTACATACAATACCTCCTAAAGTATGCCCCGCAGAGCCGAAGATCCCCCTTCCCTCTTGCCCCACCCCCTCCAAGTGAAACAGCCTTACAATGTCTCATCATGCTGACATCAGCACCCCTTGTCCTCTCTCCCCAACCGCCGCAGCTGATCCGACCCAAACGTGGCCCAGAGAAGGACAAACCTTTAACACCGCCCCTCGCTCTCAAAGATCACACCACCCACCCTATGTAACCCTCACAGGGAGGGCCTCCGACCCTAAAGGAGATGCTACCATTCAGGTTCAATAGCCAACAACTTCGTCCATTGTGTGTTCTAATGCAACATAAAAATAAAAAAATAAAAAATATATGATGTGCGCACCTGGCGCATATGCCGCCCGCCAGTGCGCACCCCCCAGCGCACCGGCCCTGTGTGCAGCGCATCACGCACCGCGCTGCCAGGTGCGCGCGCACCTCGGTTCCGCGCACCGCGCGGGCCGATGCGCCGCAAGTATGGTGTGAAGTGTTTTGACTGCAGTTGAAACTTGGGACGGTAGTGGACTCCAAAAAGGCAGTTCGAAATGCATTTACAAACTGGTTTTGTGACTGTGCCCTAGTTACCCCTTTTCTGAAAGTGGTTGTTAATCAAGCGCAGAAAACAGTGATCCAGGGTCACCTATGCCTTGAGTGGTGTGGGGAGTGTTCTACGCTCGACCCGTGGTCATTCTGGGAACTCCTGCTTGCATTTTTATCACTTACATACCAACGGTAGAATCTGGGAAATCATATGATGAAGGGACGAGATCTCTGCTGGGTTCGTAAAGCCCTGAAGCCGTATGGGTGGCGGCGCCATCAGCGGGAGTGGGAGACTCACTAGTGGCGGTGGGAACGTTTCCCGGGCGCGAAGGTAAAATAATTTCCAGCCATAACCGTGTTTGGAGTTACAGTGACGTTCACTTTCTAAGAGTGGCTGATCTCCATGAACAGGAACAGTGACACAGGGTCACCCATGACTTGAGTGGTGTGGGGAGTGTCCTACGCTCGACTTTGTGCCATCTGGGAAAATCTGGCTCGTATCTTCCCCACTTGTATATGCTGTGGGTGTGGTTATCCATCTCTCCCTCCCTTTGAATTCCCTTGGACTCTCCATATGTGGCCGTTTTCTTGGCTGTTTTCAATCATCTATTTTCTGTAGACTATTAATACGCCCAGTCCCAATGTTTTGTTAAGATCAAATTTAGTACGTACTTGGACTGAATTTTTAGAATTGAATCAGATCTGTATCTAAGAATTTAGCATGCCTTTGGAAATCATTTTAGGGTTAAATTGTATAGTTTTTCGTGAATTGCCTTGTGCATTTTCGAGATTTGCAGTTTATAGCTCATAGTTCGTTACTCGTAGTTCGTAGCTCATAGTTCTTTTCCAATAGTGTTTCGATCTTAGAAACATGCTGGTGTTTTCCTGAGTAGCAAGGATATTATACTGCCATAGATTTGCTTTGTAATTTTTTCTTTTTGGAGATTCCTTTAAGGGACACTGGACCCGGTTTCCAGGGACGTTGTCCCACATGCACCGTTTAGTGGACCTAGCTCAACGGTGTCACGGCTGAAACTGTTTTTTTTTTAATTCATTTAAAATTCAGAAATGCATAAAAAAATCCGCCTGATACAATTCATTCTTTTTCTCTTTTTTTCCACAACTGGAGTGGAATACATGACGTCCACAACCGAGAATGGAAACTTGCTTCCATCAGACGCGCGCGGTTGGCCTTCACCGCTCAAACTGTGAGATCCGACTCTCCAATTTCTTCCCCGAATACAACGTGCGGTCATTCTAGATGCATTCATACTGAAAGGTGTCAGCTAGATGTATTCAGACAGAAAGGTACCCCAGATACAGGTGTAATGACCGTGCGGTTGTATCTGGGGAAGAACGTAGTGCTGTCGGAGC